TTTGGTAGCTATTCGTTAGATCAGGTTTGATCAACTGTTTTTTTCGTTAGATCTATCACGCAAGAGGCGGTATTCACTACTTAACTTTGTGGGCGTGACTACGGGTTAGCCCCCCCTCAAGTGAAATTTGAATTTTTTTTTATTGATTTTGGTAGATATTCGTTAGGTCAGGTTTGATCAACTGTTTTTTTCATTAGATCTATCACGCAAGAGGCGGTATTCACTACCTAACTTTGTGGGCGTGACTACGGGTTAGCCCCCCCTCAAGTGAAATTTGAATATTTTTTCATTGGTTTTGGTAGATATTCGTTAGATCAGGTTTGATCAACTATTTTTTCGTTAGATCTATCACGCAAGAGGCGGTATTCACTACCTAACTTTGCGGGCGTGACTACGGGTTAGCCCCCCCTCAAGTGAAATTTGAATTTTTTTTTTATTGATTTTGGTAGATATTCATTAGATCAGGTTTGATCAACTGTTTTTGTCGATAGATCTATCACGCAAGAGGCGGTATTTACTACTTAACTTTGTGGGCGTGACTACGGGTTAGCCCCCCCTCAAGTGAAATTTGAAAATTTTTTCATTGATTTTGGTAGCTATTTGTTAGATTAAGTAAGATCAACTGTTTTTTTCCGTAAGATCTATCACGCAAAAGGAGGTATTTACAATCTTATTTTAATTTTGCACATAAATACCAGTAAATTTTCATATCAAGCCACAGGTGACATCATAATTTAGGAATTTGCTTGGATTTGCTAACACAATGTGTAGATCATTTTCAAATTTTTTTTTTTTATTCTCTACATGCACAGTATTGAGGTGATAAAGTCCAACATATGCCCAGTCTGAACGTATTAGTGATATTTGAATACAGTTGCAAGAAAAAGTATGTGAGCCCTTTGGAATGATATGGATTTCTGCACAAATTGGTCATAAAATGTGATCTGATCATCATCTAAGTCACAACAATAGACAATCAGTCTGCTTAAACTAATAACACAAAAAGAATGAAATGTTGCCATGTTTTTATTGAACACACCATGTAAACATCCACAGTGCAGGTGGAAAAAGTATGTGAACCCCTAGACTAATGACATCTCCAAGAGCTAATTGGAGTGAGATGTCAGCCAACAGGAGTCCAATCAATGAGATGAGATTGGAGGTGTTGGTTACAGCTGCCCAGGTCAGGAGTAATTCTTGACCATTCCTCTTTACAGAACTGTTTCAGTTCAGCAATATTCTTGGGATGTCTGGTGTAAATCGCTTTCTTGAGGTCATGCCACAGCATCTCAATCAGGTTGAGGTCAGGACTCTGACTGGGCCACTTCAGAAGGTGTATTTTCTTCTGTTTAAGCCATTCTGTTGTTGATTTACTTCTATGCTTTGGGTCATTGTCCTATTGCAACACTCATCTTCTGTTGAGCTTCAGCTGGTAGACAGATGGCCTTAAGTTCTCCTGCAAAATGTCTTGGGAATTTGGGAATTCATTTTTCCTTCGATGATAGCAATCCATCCAGGCCCTGACGCAGCAAAGTAGCCCCAAACCATGATGCCCCCACCACCATACTTCACAGTTGGGATGAGGTTTTGATGTTGGTGTGCTGTGCCTCTTTTTCGCCACATATAGTGTTGTGTGTTTCTTCCAAACAACTCAACTTTGGTTTCATCTGTCCACAAAATATTTTGCCAGTACTGCTGTGGAACATCCAGGTGCTCTTGTGCAAACTGTAAACGTGCAGCAATGTTTTGTTTGGACAGTAGTGGCTTCCTCTGTGGTATCCTCCCATGAAATCCATTCTTGTTTAGTGTTTTACGTATTGTAGATTCGCTAACAGGGATGTTAGTATTTGCCAGTGACTTTTGTAAGTCTTTAGCTGACACTCTAGGATTCTTCTTCACCTCATTGAGCAGTCTGCGCTGTGCTCTTGCAGTCATCTTTACAGGACGTCCACTCCTAGGGAGAGTAGCAGCAGTGCTGAACTTTCTCCATTTATAGACAATTTGTCTTACTATGGACTGATGAACAGCAAGGCTTTTGGAGATACTTTTATAACCCTTTCCAGCTTAATGCAAGTCAACAGTTCTTAATCGTAGTTCTTCTGAGAGCTCTTTTGTGCGAAGCATCATTCACATCAGACAATGCTTCTTGTGAAAAGCAAACCCAGAACTGGTGTGTGTTTTTTATAGGTCAGGGCAGCTGTAACCAACACCTCCAATCTCATCTCATTGATTGGACTCCAGTTGGCTGACATCTCACTCCAATTAGCTCTTGGAGATGTCATTAGTCTAGGGGTTCACATACTTTTTCCACCTGCACTGTGAATGTTTACATGGTGTGTTCAATAAAAACATGGCAACATTTCATTATTTGTGTGTTATTGGTTTAAGCAGACTGTGATTGTCTATTGTTGTGAGTTAGATGATGATCAGATCACATTTTATGACCAATTTGTGCAGAAATCCATATCATTCCAAAGGGCTCACATACTTTTTCTTGCAACTGTATTCAAATATCACTAATAAGTTCAGGCTACGCATATGCTGGACTTTATCACCTCAATACTGTGCATGTAGAGAATAAAAAAAAAATATTAAAAATGATCTACACATTGTGTTAGAAAATCCAAGCAAATTCCGAAATTATGATGTCACCTGTGGCTTGATATGAAAATTTACTGGTATTTATGTGCAAAATTAAAATAAGATTGTGAATACCGCCTTTTGCGTGATAGATCTTACGGAAAAAAACAGTTGATCTTACTTAATCTAACAAATAGCTACCAAAATCAATGAAAAAAAATTCAAATTTCACTTGAGGGGGGGCTAACCCGTAGTCACGCCCACAAAGTTAAGTAGTGAATACCGCCTCTTGCGTGATAGATCTAACGAAAAAAACAGTTGATCAAACCTGATCTAACGAATAGCTACCAAAATCAATTAAAAAAATTCAAATTTCACTTGAGGGGGGGCTAACCCGTAGTCACGCCCACAAAGTTTAGTAGGGAATACCGCCTCTTGCGTGATAGATCTAACGAAAAAAATAGTTGATCAAACCTGATCTAACGAATAGCTACCAAAATCAATGAAAAAATATAAAAATTTCACTTGAGGGTGGGCTAACCCGTAGTAACGCCCACAAAGTTAAGTAGTGAATACCGCCTCTTGCGTGATAGATCTAACGAAAAAAGCAGTTGATCAAACCTGATCTAACGAATAGCTACCAAAATCAGTAACATTTTGTCCAAATTTCAGTTGAGGGGGGGCTAGCCAACTAGAAATGATGATTGTCTGGACCTGGTTCTAACAAACAATGTTGATCTTTTGACCAACATTCATGTAGGTGAGCACTTGGGAAATAGTGATCACAATATAGTGTCCTTTGAAATATACTCAAAAAAAACCAAAAGTACATCTAAAACATACAATTTTAAAAAGGACAATTTCTATTAGTGAAGTGCAGCTTTACAATATATTAACTAACACAAACTCTTTAGTGAAAATAAACACTGAAAAAAACACTGAAGATATATGGAACATCTTCCAATAAATATTAGAAAGGTACATTTCTCAGTATGTACCATTGGGACATAAATATAAAAGAAAAGAAATTGAAACCAATGTGGCTTAGTAGAGAAGTAAAACAAGAGATTAAAAATAAAAAAGGGCCTGTAAAACATTTAAATCAGATAAATGAGAGGAATCCTATATAAGATATAAGGAAGCCAAGAATGTGTGCAAAACAGTGATTAGATTAGCTAAAGTTTAAAATGAAAAATTGAAAGCCAAAGAGAGTAAAACCAACCCCAAAGCATTTTTAAGTACATAAATTCTAAAAAAAAAAAGTGTAGGTACACCAAAAACTGAAATTTTAAATAACTATTTCTTCTCTGTATATATTAAGGAAGAACCCATGGCAACAGATGTGCAAATTATTGCTGCTAAAAACTTGCAGAAAAATTGTAATTGGTTAACCCCAGACAAGGTGCTGCAGCAACTAAAGAAAGTTAATATAAACAAAGCTCCAGGGCCTGACGGTATTCATCCACGAGTACTTAAGGAACTAAGTGTAATAAATAAGTGAACCTCTGTTTTTAATCTTTCAAGATTCTTTTCTTTCAGGAAGTGTTCCCGGAGGATTGGAGTGAGGCAGATGTGGTTCCTATATTCAAAAAGGGTTCAAAATCCTTTCCTGGGGGGCGTGGCCTGACACCGGACTGAATGGACGCTTTCTAACGAGGCTCCTGCAGAACAGGTGCCAAAGGGCTGAAAATAACCGGTCTAACTAGTGTAACAAAATATAAAATACCTCACATAACTGCGAAGATGTCCCAGAGACAAAAAGCTATAAGAGCAAAAGCAGACAGAGCATCTTTCTTCCTGGCTAAATCATCCACAGCACAGCTGCGGAAAGGTCGCAGCCCGACTAAAGATGGTGGCGACACGTGCTCGGAAGTGGAGCTCCCTCCTTCTCCGGGGTCCTCCGATGTGGGACCGGAGGACAACCTGCTCACAACAGTAAGCATGAAAAAGAAGCTCTCACGGACAACATACAGCGCAATATGGCTGCACAATTGCAAACCCTCAAGGCAGACCTCCGGAAGGAGATACTTGAATTAGGCCAACGCACTGCACAGGCCGAAAAACGGATGGACGAATTTGTGGAGGCCCATAATAGCCTTGCGGATAAACTGCAAGAAATAGATTCCACCCTACACGTCCACGCACTGAAAATGGCCGATATGGAAGACCGCTCAAGACGCAACAACTGGCGGATACGCGGCATCTCAGAATCAGTCCTAAACTCGGCCCTGAACAACTATCTGCTGGATATGTTCTAGGCACTGACACCGGAGACTCCTCCAGACCAGCTAATCATCGATCGGGCACACAGACTGAGGAGACCCAAACATCTCCCCAACTCGACCGCGAGATATGTCATCGTTAGGGTCCACTTCTATCATGCTAAAGAAAGGCTGGTCAGAGCCTCCAGATCCCCAGGCATGCCTGAGCCTTACCAAGACCTAAAACTTTTTACGGACTTGTCAGCAGCAACCCTACAATTCCGCAAAAGCCTGACACCTCTCACGACCACATTACGCTCTCAAGGAATTGCATACCGCTGGGGGTACCCAGCAAAACTATTAATTCACTACCGGGACACACTACATGCCGTGGACTCATTAGCAGCAGGCAAGGAGAAATTAAGGAGCTGGGCCTAGAAGCAACCAAGACAGGAGACAAGAATAAGGTGAAGATACCCAGGATGTCTCCAGAGTGGACCCCGGCCTGAAACACGAACTCTACCGGACACCAACTCTCCTCCACGCCGGAGAGACACTAAGTATATCTATGTCTTAACTAATGTCACAATGTGCGGTCATTTCTATACTTATTCTATCTGTATGTTGAATTTGTTGATGTTTAAGGGGCTCCAGTTATTTACCGAAGGTATCCCAACAGTTACTATGTTATAGATGAGGGAGCTGCAAGGCTCTCGACTTCCTTTCCAATATATGGGGCCCTCAGAACTCGGAGGATCTTTAGACTGAGGGAGCACCCCGAGGAAATAGAGGACTTAGCGATCTTAGATAGCTGTAAATAGCCCTAGTGCCACGGATGAGCCATCCACTCCATCAGGCTCATGAATGTACCCCCCCACCTGCGGCCAAGACTATATTTTCGCAGTTCGGCTCTCCCGGACTGAGCCCAAATGGGGTTTCCACCCCCTGCCCATTTCCCTGTTTTCAACCCTCCCCTGTTTCTTCTTCCCCCCACCTACCCAGGTTTATCCCAGCAGACTCCTGCTCAGTGCATCACATAATTACATAGTTACATAGCTGAAAAGAGACTTGCGTCCATCAAGTTCAACCTTCCTCACAAATGTTGTTGCTGTTGATCCAAAAGAAGGCAAAAAACCTGGTCTGAAGCGCTTCCAATTTTGCCTCAAACTAGGAAAAAATTCCTTCTTGACCCCAAAATAGCAGTCAGATGTCTCCTTGGATCAAGCAGCTATTACCCCACTAATTAGAAATTATATCCCTGTATGTTATGTTTTTGTAAGTATTTATCCAATTTCAGTTTAAACATCTGTATGAACTCTGACAAAACCACCTCTTCAGGCAGAGAATTCTATATCCTTATTGTTCTTACTGTAAAAAAACCTTTTCTTTGCCTTAGATGAAATCTCATTTCTTCCAGCCTAAATGTGTGACCTCTTGTCCTATGTATAGCCCTGTTTATGAATAGATTTCCAGATAAAGGTTTGTACTGGCCCCCGGATATATTTGTATAAAGTTATCATATCCCCTCTCAGGCGCCGTTTTTCCAAACTAAACAGATTTAATTTTTTTAACCTTTCTTCATAACTAAAATGCTCTGTTCCTTTTCTCAATTTTGGAGCTCGTCTCTGGACCCTCTCCAGTGCCATGATATCCTTCTTTAGAACAGGCGCCCAAAATTGCACAGCATATTCAAGGTGTGGTCTTACCAGCGATTTATAAAGAGGCAGAATTATATTTTCATCCCGAGAATTTATGCCCCTATTTATACATGACAAAATCTTACTGGCCTTAGCAACTTCAGATTGACATTGCATAATGCCCCGAAGCGGTTGAAAAGAGGAGACCAGCACGTACCCCTAACTCAGATTGCATACTTAGTTCAAGTGGCCCGACCTATTACCTGTCACATCTATACAACACATAAGGACGTTAAAATGCTGGTCTCCCCAATAACTGTATGCTATGTACCACACACCGTTCACCTAAGCGAAATTACCTCCAATTACCATTAGGGTAGTAACATACAATGTGAAGGGGCTGAATGCCCCAGGTAAACGTAGACTGTTACTTAAAGATCTGATAAACAACCGGGTAGACATCGCATGTATTCAAGAAACTCACTTTAAGAAAGGGAACACTCCAAAGATCTTCCATAAGCATTTCCCTTCACAATACCACGTGCTGTCAGATACCAAAACCAAAGGTGTATCCATATTTATACATAAAGAAGTCACCTTTACGTTGCAGAGGCATTTCATCAACCTCCAAGGCCTCTTTAATGCTACTCAATATACTTTGGTCACGGCGTATCTTCCCAATGATAACCCCAAAAAATATCTCCAATCCCTATTGACCAAAATTGACCAGTATAGACATGGTAATTTGCTCATCTGTGGAGACTTTAACCTTTCCCAAACATCTCTGGACAGTTCATCCCAGAAAGGAAACAGGGCCCTTCAGGCACAAGACATGACCCACAAACACGTCTCCAAAATTCTTTCCCTCCATGATCTCTATGATGTCTGGAGGACCCTTAACCCAGGGGATAGGGATTACACTTTCTATTCGAGGGTGCATAATTCATATTCCTGTACAGATGCCTTTTTTGTTGACAGAGTAACCCTACCCCACGTCTCAGAATGCAAGATTGGCGAGATCACTTGGTCCGACCATAGCCCGGTCACCCTAGATCTAAAAGATGAGTTTCAGTTCAGGGGGAAGGGAACGTGGAGGCTAAACGATTCTCTCTTACACAACGAAAAATTTGTTGCCACAATACGGGAGGAACTAACAGCCTACTTTAAGTTAAAAACCACCCCCGATATCACAGAATCCACTGCGTGGTCCGCACATAAAGCGGTGCTCAGAGGCCTCTTTATAAAACAAGCAGCACACATCAAACGGCTCCACAACTCGGCCATATTAGATTGTCATGCACAGATAGCCCAACTCTCAGCGTTAAATAAAACGCAACCCTTGACAGACATAGCGACTCAACTCTCCCACCAATATAACAAACTTAGAGAACTGAATGCAGAAAAAACCAGGCGACTCCTACATAAATTAAAAGCTGACACCTATCATCATAGTGGCAAAGCCACTAGACTCCTAGCAGCTAGACTACACAACAAATGCAATTCACAGAAAATAGCCAATCTCCTAAACGAGAAAGGTAATAAAATACTCAATCCTAGTGACATAGCACAGGCCTTTGCACGGTTTTATGCTAAACTGTACAACTTACAACATATACCAGGGATACACAACCCGTCAGATGAAAGCATCTCTAAATATCTAACACAAATAAATCTGCTGCACATCACGCAAAATCAAGCTAGGGAACTCCAACAAGCCATAACGCTAAATGAGGTCACAGAAGCCATTAGAGCCCTGCCTCCGGCAAAATCCCCGGGGGCAGATGGGTTCACTAACACGTACTATAAGACGTTTGTGGACACACTTGCACCCCAGCTCTTGAGAGTCTACCAGCAGGCCTCTGAAATTGGCTCCCTTCCAAGGGAAATGCTTTTAGCTACCATAATTGCTATCCCAAAACCGGGTAAACCCGGGGACGACTGTAAAAATTACCGCCCGATATCCCTCCTTAATACGGATGCTAAATTGTATGCGAAAATTATAGCAAACAGGCTGAGTAGGCTGTTGCCACAGCTGATACGGGATGACCAAACTGGGTTCGTCCTGGGGAGACAAGGCTCAGACAATACCTATAAACTCATGCATGTCTTTGAGCAGCTCTGGAGGCCTGGCCGAGGGGGTCTACTATTGGCATTAGATGCGGAAAAGGCATTTGACCGCCTCAGCTGGGCCTTCTTGAGACAAGTTCTGGACAAATATGGGTTCCCTCAACAAGTCATCACTCAAATCTTTGCACTGTACTCCGCCCCTTCAGCCAGAGTTCTCCAGGTGGGATTCCTCTCTGACCCATTTGAACTTACAACGGGACTCGCCAAGGGTGCCCCCTATCCCCTCTATTATACGTACTTGCCCTGGAACTGCTCTTGGCCTCAATAAGAATCCATCCCGACATAACTGGTCTTAGAATTGGCCCAAAAGAGATGAGGATTAGTGCTTTTGCTGACGACATCCTCTTATACATATCCCACCCGACATCATCACTGCCCCACGTTATGAAACTCATCCAAACATATGGGGAACAATCCTACTATTCCCTTAACACTTCTAAAACTCAGGCACTTAGTATAGGGATACCGGTAAATGACCTGAAGGACCTATGAGAGACATACCACTTTGATTGGAGGAAACAGGACATCACCTAAAAAAACAACAGAACTATACTCCGGCAACCATATGAAAATATGGAAAGAGTGTAAGCTACAACTCCAGAGATGGGCCCCACTTTATCTATCATGGACGGAAAGAGTAGTGGCATTGAAGATGTAGATTCTTCCCAGACTACAGTATATCTTTAGAACTCTCCCAATATTGGTTCCGAATTCTTTCTTTCAATTAGTACAAAGGGACATGGACAACTTTATCTGGGCAGGAACCAAACCGAGAGTAGCTAGGAAAATATTACAAACACCAAAAATGAATGGAGGACTAGGACTACCTGATACGAAAGCTTACTATCATGCATCCATACTGACCCCACTTCTAACTCACTATATAACTAAACCACCTCCCCAATGGGTGGAAATAGAGAGGAGCTTCCTAAACCCCTATGCACTGGCCAATCTCATGTGGCTGCCAAAAAAGCATAGACCACCTCTGACCCACTCTTCTGACCTCATCACACTGAGACTTCAAATGTGGGACAGACATAGGGCTACACTCAGCTCAAAGACCACACTATCACCAGCCACACCGATAGCAGCCCTGCCATATTGCATCCCTACATTCCACGCCAGACCATGGCTAGACAAAAAATTAACACACATCTACCAAGTCCTTCAACAAGGGGAACTAATAGATTTCGCCAAATTAAGAGACATACATGGACTTCCCCAGACCTCACACTTCTCGCACATGCAGCTGAGATCGTTCCTCTGCAAACTGACAAATGTGGAGACACGGTCAGACTCTGTAAAGGAGCAAATCACGGGGTGGGAGCAGATATGCATAAATGAAGTATTACCACCCTTATGTAAACTGATCTCCATGTGTTACCGACTCCTAGCGAACTGTCTCCTGTTCCCTACCACAAAAATAGCAAAACAATGGACCACAGACTTAGGCTAGAATATCACATCCCATCAATGGAATACTCTATTCTGGGACGTAAACCAATTGCTCAAATCCACCACCCTAGTAGAACAACAGCAAAAAAGCATATATAGATGGTACATGGTACCCACGAGACTCCATAAATTCTATCCACATAGCCCTCCCACCTGCTGGAGATGTGAGGAGTTGAGAGGGGATGTTCTCCATATTTGGTGGCACTGCTCTACCCTTAGGCCATTCTGGATAGCGGTCCACGACCTCTTGCAGGAGATGACGAGCTGTACCTTAACATTTAAGCCCTGTATATATATATATAACCTTGCTTCTACCGACTGAGCTCCCCAAAGCTACAAAGAAACTCATATACCATGTCATTCTCTCAGCCCATAGAGAGGTTGCGAGAGCATGGAAAACCAAGTTCTGCCCGTCCCTATCTAAACTGCTCTCAGAAATACAAGACCAAAGATCATTCGAGGGAGCATATAGCAAACTGTGGCCTCCATCTCGCACCACGACAAAATCATGGGAGATATGGGACACATGGAGATCGGGACAATCGGTACAAATAGGTACCAATGTCAGAGGAACAAGTTAACATTAAATTAAAATTAAAGCCAAACGTTTTGGTAACGTCAATAGCCATCTTTTATGTTTATGTTTTATGATTTATGTATTATGTATTAGGCATGACCGTCATGCCCTACCACTGGTGAGGAACCACAATACGCCTGACACTGTATGGTATAGAATGACTCTGATAATGTACATCATACCATTACTTTGATATGAACACAAAATGTGTCAATAAACATTGTCAAATTTAAAAAAAAATCCTTTCCTGGAAATTATAGACCTGTGAGCTTAACTTCTGTGGCTGGAAAAGTATTTGAAAGGTTATTAATGAATAATATTCAATAATTCCTTTAGAAGAACATGGTTATCGGCAAAAATCAGCATGGTTTTATGAAGCACAGGTCATGTCAAACTAACTTGATTGCGTTCTACGAAGAAGTAAGTAGAAGTATAGATCATGGTGTTGCAGTGTATGTGATCTATTTGGATTTTGCCAAGGCATTTGATACAGTTCCACACAATAGATTAGTGTTCAAACTCAAAGAAATTGGTCTAGATGAAAATTCTTCTTTTGGGGTAGAACATTGGCTTAAAAATAGAGTACAAAGAGTTGTCATTAATGATAAATTTTCAAGATGGACAGAGGTGGCAAGTGGTGTCCCTCAGGGTTCTGTTCTGGAACCCCTTCTATTTAACATGTTTATAAATGATCTTGAAAAAAAGCATTGAAAGTCATGTTTCAGTCTTTGCAGATGACACAAAACTCTGTAAAGTAATACAATGTGAGCAAGATATTACTTTGCTGCAGAGGAATTTAGATAGACTGGGGGACTGGGCACTCAAATGGCAAATTAAGGTTAATGTTGAAAAATGCAAAGTTACTTAGCGCAGCAAAGGTCCTCCTAGCTCAAAAATGGAAGAGCACGAAAATACCCACCATAGAGGCAGTTAGCAGCAGAATGGACGTGATTGGCTCCTATGAACTAATGGCTAGCAGGATGCAGGGCCAGGAGGATAGGCACGAGAGGGAGTGGGGCTGCTGGAGACCCAAACCGTGAAAGCAAATAATATAATATAATATACAGAAGGGTCAAACTCCAATGTGAACGTAAATGCAAATTCAAATGCAAATGAAATCCTTAAGGTAAACACAGATATCTATGGGCACACAACTGTTAACTGAATGCAAACCAGGTTGCAAGTAGAACAGGAGTCGGCAGGGTTAGGGATTTCTATATTCCCAGTCCCAAATTCAGATCCCCTTCCCCACCCATCCCAAGTTCCCCTGTAAGCTTCCATGGTACCTATATGCCAGAATATGAGACGGCTGAACAATCCACGTTGACGATACACACCAACTTAACCATGCGACAACTCACTGTTGGGTATACCTCATGTGCATCTGACCATGTTAAAATGTTGCAATATACTGCTATATAATGATTTATGTATCTAACATTGCAACTGGACAAAATTTATGATTCTACCCTGTTTAACTAAATAAAAAAACTATATATGCAAAGTTATGCACTTCGGCGTAAAGAATGCACAAGCAACGTTTACCCTTAATGGAAGCAAATTAGAGATAACAACACACGAAAAGGACTTGGGAATTGTTATAGACAACAAATTATGCAACAATGTGCAATGTCCAATGTCAATCAGCAGTGGCTAAGGCCAGTAAGGTATTGTCATACATGAAAAAGGACATTCTTTTCTCGGGATGAGAAAATAATTTTGCCTCTGTATATGTCACTTGTTAGAACACATCTTGAATATGCTGTGCAATTTTGGGCACCTGTTCTAAAGAAGGATATTAGGGCACTAGAAACAGCGCAGAGGAGGGCTACAGAATTAATTAAAGGAATGGAACATATCAGCTATGAAGAAAGATTAACAAATTTAAACATCTTTAGTTTAGAAAAACGTTGCCTCAGAGGGGATATGATAACATTATACAAAATATATCCGGGGCCAATACAAACCATTGTGTGGAAATCTATTCACAAACCGGACTTTACATAGGACACGAGGTCATGCGTTTAGACTGGAAGAAAGAAGATTTTGTCTAAGGCAAAAAAAAATTTACTGTAAGAACAATAAGGATGTGAAATTCTCTGCCTGAAGAAGTGGTTTCTGTCAGAGCCCATACAGATGTTCAAACAGCAACTAGATGCATACTTGCAAAAACAGAATAGTCAAGGATATAATTTTTCAATGTAGGGTATTAGATTCTTGATCCAAGGATTAATCTGACTGCCATTCTGGGGTTAAGAAGGAATGTTTTTCCTAGTTTGTTGCAAAATTGGAAGTGCTTCAAATTGTTTTTTTTACCTTCTTTTGGATCAACAGCAAAAAACAAATGTGAGAAAGGCTTAACTTGATTAAGGCAAGTCTCTTTTCAGCTATGTACATAGGATCAATAGCAATATATATATATATATATATCACGAGCACTCTCTCTCTCTCTCTCTCTTTATATATATATATATATATACATATATATATATATAATATCCATTCCACTTACTGTACCTTCCTCTATTGTAAAGTAACCTGTAAATTGCAGTACACCTGTTAGCACTATATGCAGAATACAAGCAGAGCACACCAGCAATCAATGAGAAGTAAAATCATGTAGAATACGTTCCAGGGTATCTGAAAAATGAGATGGGTTTTAAAATCTAGATCTGTGATATTTACATGAAGTCACACAAGCTGACCTTCGAGTGTGTCTCCGCGAAGTCAGTGAATGGATTTTTTTTTCAGCGTATGAGTAGATTCTGCATTTTAACAGGAAAACCCTGTGTGCAGCTGCGATGCTACAGGCCAACGATGAAGCAGACCCCATTGGCTTCTATTTTTATATCATATGTATGCAGACGACACTGTAATCTATGCTAGTAAACCCAGTTTAAGGCTGTGCTCCAAAACCAATTCACAGAGGTAGGAAAGTGGATAGCGGATAACAAACTCTTCCTGAACACTGACAAAACTGTTACAATGATCTTTGGAACTGTACCTAAATTACGTAAACTACAAAATCAACAACTATGTATCATAACGATTCAAATAGCACACTGACAGCAGTCTGCTCTTCTAAATATCTAGGTATGTTGCCAGACCCCAGTCTATCACTTGGCCTTCACATTGAAAAAATATCTTCAAAACTTTACCCAAAACTAGGTGCCCTGTACAGAAACAAATCCTGCCTAGGCCTTACAGTAAGGAAATGGATAGTGCAACAAATGCTAATGCTGGTCATTGATTATGGGGATGTAGTGCATGCACCCGCACCGCAGACCCATCTTAATAAACTTAATACGTTATATAATTTGTTCTGCCGCTTTGTAAAGAATGTAATTACTTTACCCACCATTGTGACATGTTTAAAGAGCTAAACTGGCTGTCGCTGGAATCCCGACACACTCTTCATCTTTCCAGCCTTGTGCATAAGAGCATTTCTGGGAAGCTCCCACCCTACCCGAGTAGAATGCTCTCCCCGGCTGTTCCCACCTCCTGTAACCTCCGATCCAGTACTAGCACGATATTTAGCATACCGCAATACAAAAATAAAGTGGCTCTATCCTTCTTTTCCTACAGAGCACCGCAATTATGGAATAACCTCAGGGACGCAGTCAAATCTTCATTCAATCTAAAATCTTTTAAGAGATCTATGGCAATATACCTCAATACAGAATGCACCTGTTATGGATGAATATCTTTATTACCTGTTATGTATTAAATGTATGTATTTGTGTATGTATACATATATACTGTATATAGTCCAAAAGAATGATGGTGCACTTGAAGGGATTTTTCAATTAAAATATTGGTACTCTTTAATGCATACAAGCAAACGTATACAAAGTCCTTGTATGCAATCAAGAGCACCAATATTTTCATTGAAAAATCCCTTGAAGTGCACCCTCATTCTTTTGGACTATTAATCATACGCAGATTGCACCAGGGTAATGAGTTTTTGTTTTATTAGTTAAATGGTGAGTGCCAAGCCTTTGTTTTATATATATATATATAGTTTGTATATTGTGTTTTTGTAGTATTGTATCCTATTGTAACAATGCAACGTTTTTTGGATGCAGGATATAATTGAAAACTAGAGAAATTTCAATGTATCCCTCCTGGTAAAATATGTTATAAATAAATAAATATTCAATGGCCTTCAGTGGCTGCAACAAGGACATTAATAAACACTTTAAACTGTCGAGGACCAAGGACATATTACATAGCTCTCATGTTATCATCCTTGTCCAAACTGAAAATGTTCTATTTACGGGACACTCGATGTCCCACACTTGGTGAGTCACATAAGCAGATGCTGTATATCTTTGTTTTTACAGTGGAACCTCGGAACTCGAACTTAAAGGGAAACTCCAGTGCCAGGAAAACAATCCGTTTTCCTGGAACTGCAGGTTCCCTCTCCCACCCCCCAATCCCCGTTGCTGAAGGGGTAAAAACCCCTTCAGTAACTTACCTGAGGCAGCGACAATGTCCCTCGTCACTGCTTCCTCCTCCGCCGCCGCTCCTCCTCTGCATTGCGTCGGCCGGTGGGCGGGATCAGTCTCGGCCAGGGAGACCTAATGCACATTAGCGCTCCCCATAGGAAAATGCATTCCAATGCTTTCCTATGGGAAAATGAGCGACGCTGGCGGTCCTCACACGGCGTGAAGACGTCCAGCAATGCTCTAGCACAGGTTTCCTGTGCTAGAAACCAGGAAGTGCCCTCTAGTGGCTGTCTATTAGCCTCTAGAGGTGGAGTTAACCCTGCAAAGTAATTATTGCAGTTTATAAAAAAACTGCAATAATTACACTTGCAGGGTTAAGAGTAGTGGGAATTGGCACCCAGACCACTCCAATGGGCAGAAGTGGTCTGGATGCCTGGAGTGTCCCTTTAATCCATTCCAGAAGGCTGTTCGAGTTCCGATTTGTTCGAGAACCGAATCTACATTTCCCATAAGAATTAATGTAAATTTGATTAATCCATTCCAGACATCCAAAGCATTTTAACACAAATTTTACAGTTGAATAATGCCTTAAGTGCATCATATCATATAGCAAAAAAATTATAAACACAATGTATAGTAAATTAAATGAAAATGTAACTTCACTTTAACTGTAATGATGAGAGTTGATGGCGTAAGTGGAAAGGAGAAGAGATATTATTCTTGGATGAGGATAGGTAACTTTTCTTCTGGCATTTAAAATGTG